ACAACAGACTGTAATTGTTGAGTATAAAACACACAGCAGATTGAAATAGGTGAGAACAGTATACAAAAGTTTGGAACGTTTGGTTTCAAAATACAACAGACTAGAAGTGTTAACTAGAGAACATAACATCTGATGTGTTGACTACAGAAGACAATAATATGGAACAGTGGACTATAGCACACAACAGACTGTAACTGCTGACTAAAGACCAATATGTATCGGAATTGTGACCTAAAAAACACAACAGACAATATATTTAACATGCGACAAAAAAATTAATAACATCTTAAAAAATCTATTATGGATGCTAACGGTGCCTCACAAGGAAAACTGTAATGTTAACAACACAATATATATATTAGCTGTATTCACCTGGACATGTACTAAAAGGGTTCAAGATTTTCCAGTAAAATCTAGTAGATGAGGTGACGTGACAAAGCTCTCTTTCTCTACTGATCAATATATATTTAAGAACAACACAATCTTCTGACTTCTGCAGATAAATTTGTACTTTCATTTGAATATTAAAACAGTCATATTAGTTTTAAAAAATAAAGATGGTTGATTGTACCTGTATAATAAATTTTCTCGGCTTTATGGAGGATATCATATTTCCTTTCTGTAATATTTCGCAGGATTTTTCCGCAGTATACCAACGTTAGGGTACAACCACCGACAGATTCGTTAGCCTGGTATTTTCTCACTATATTAGCTTTGAAATATTGCAAGTTTAGAAAACAAAAATTTTAAATAATTAAGGGGGAACCTAATTGGCACTTACAATAAAAGGTGAGGTTCTTAAATCAATGCTGCCGAATTTAGCATGGCTTGTTAGAGCAAGCCAAAAAAGCGCTTTCTACAGACTGGAGCGAGACGTCCACGAAGAGCCGCTGTCTGTTTTACTGACGTCACAGCGACGAAATAGGTAGCGTAAAAGAAGGGATCTCCTCGATAATGATAATAGTTATTATTATTTTTGAAATTAAAGCTAAATACGTATCAAGTAGTTGCTAAGAAAATAAATGAAGTCTTCTCTCGTTCGTTTAGATAAAGTTTCGAAAAGTTCTTCGAAATCCGTACATTTTATTCTGTTAAGTGCCAAGGCTTTACAACTCTGGAATATATTATTCCCACTAGCGGTTTTATATATGTTCTAGTTAATATACCACCATTGTATTGTGTGGTTCTAAGTACGTGATGATGCAGACGTTGAGGACACAGGCGTGGAAACACGTTCTTTAGGATCAATGACTTGTGTTTTACCAGAAGGAAAAATAGGGGAAGTTTCTATGTCTCAAATACTCAGTATCAGCTTTAAAAAGTAACCCATTTCATTATTTCCTATTAAACTGGAACATCTGCCAAAAAATCAGCTGATGGTAAAGTTAAAACATGCACTGGTATAATTACACCAGCCGTCTAACAATGATCGGGCTTCTGCTGCTTGTAGTGTTAAAACATCCACTGACGTCATTCCACCAGTCGTCTAACAATGGCCGAGTTTCTGTTATTTATAGCGTTAAAACCTGCACTGACGTCCTTACACCAGTCGTCCAACAATGATCGGGCTTTTGCTGCTTGTAGCGCTACAACATGCACTGACGTAATTAAACCAGTTGTCTAACGATGATCGGGCTTCTGCTGTTTGTAGTGTTAAAATATGCAGTGACGTCATTACACTAGTCGTCTAACAGTGATAGGACTTCTGCTGCTTCTAGTGTTAAAACATGCACTGACGTCATTACACCAGTCTTCTAACAATTATCGGGCTTCTACTACTTGTAGCGTTAAAACCTACAACTGCGTTTTTACACCATTCGTCCAACAATGATCGAACTATACAGATATATAACAAATATACGATGAAAGCAAGCAAATGTTTAAAAAATGTGCCACAGATTGAGAATGTTGGCGTTCCATCAACTCTAGCTGTTCGAAGCATTTCTTTTTCCTTCAAGTGGCAAGCACTGTTAATCTGAATGGTTAGACAAGTGTAAATAATATAAATAAAAACCTAAAATTTGATTGATACTCACCAATCTAAGTAAGCACACCATTTAACTAGCATATATAAGTATCTTAGAAACCATTTAAGTAATTATTATCAAACACAACCTATTAACCGTTGAACTAACGTTTTATGAAATAAAACTTAACGATTTATATAACATTGTATCTAGTATAACTAATGTTGTAACAAATATAAGTAAGTACATACAGTAAATGTAGACAATATAACGTAATTCCTAAAAGGCTTAAGGATAAATTACCTATCAACACACGAAGACGCCAGAAACTAACATAGAAACTTAATCAAGTCATGCTCCAAGACAGGATCAAATATCACCTTATAAATTAACACATAACAACATTAACGACTTATATCAGAAGACAGGTAATAGACCTGGCAACACAGACCTTATCAAGATAAATGAACACAAGACGCATACTATCAGTAATGGTCTATATCTGCAGATAGTACATCAATATACTAATAATGCTTGGAGACTGCTTGAATGGGTAATGAAGAAAAACTTTAATATAAGTTTAACATAACAGCAAATTTACAACGTTTCGACAAAGTTTTGTCATCATCAGGTACAAGTAGCTTACACTGACACAGATATATATATATATATATAGTATGGAACAAAGAGGTCACATGACCAGATACTGTTGGAAAACCTAGAAGAGGTATCCTGGCACCCAGGGTGTTAGTTTAGAGTAGGGGTTGTTGTGTTCAATTAAGATGGATTCCTTGATTTTTTTTGTTTATGTTGGGTTCTTTGGGTGCCAAGATACCTCTACTAAGTTTTGCAACAGTATCCG